ATTTTTTTTTTTAAATTTCTCAGCAATTTCCCATCAGTTTTTGGGGCGGGTTCTGGCGAGGCTGGCTGAGTTTTTTTTTTGGGAATATTCCTGGAATGTTTTCCAGGGATTTTTTTTGGGGTACCTGTGACGTGGAGCTGCTCCCCGGGCAGGGCCTGGATGCGGATCTGGAGGCGCCCGCGGCGCTCGGTGTGATCGACCCCACACAGGCTGGGCACGCTCTGCACACAGCGCTTGTGCACGTTCATCTCACAGCCTGACAAAATCCGGGAATGATGGGAATTTTTTGGGATTTTTTGGGGAATTTTTAAGGGTCAGGAAAGCCCCGAAACGCAAAAAAAACCCCGATTTTTTCTGATTTTTCTCGCGTTTTTTGTGATTTTTTTCCCCCCAAAATCCTGCTCTGCACGCGGTGCTTGTGCACGTTCATCTCACAGCCTGACAAAAAAATCCGGGAATTTTTTTGGGAATTTTTGGGGGTCAGGAAAGCCCAAAAACAAAAAAAAACCCCTATTTTTTTCTGATTTTTCTCGGGTTTTTTGTGATTTTTTTTTTTTTTGCCCCCAAAATCCCGCTCTGCATCAGCCTGACAAAAAACCAGGAATTTTGGGAATTCTTTGGAATTTTTTGGGGAATTTTTTTGGGGAATTTCTGAAGCACCCAGACCGCCCCAAACCCCAAAAATCACCTTTTTTTTTTTTTAATTTTCCCCAAAAATCCCTTCAAAACCCCCCCAAAAAACCCCAAATTTTTTCCCCCAACCCCCCAAATTCCCGATTTCCCCCCCAGAATTCCCGATTTTCCCTGGAATCGTCACCCACAGGAGCATTTCATGCCCTGGTGCACGAGGCCGTAGAGCAGCGAGCCGCAGTGGTCGCAGAACGTGGGGCTGCTGTAGCTGTGAACCTTGAACTTGTGCTTGTTCCGGGGGTCCTGGGGGAAAATCCGGGAATTTTGGGCAATTTTGGGAATTCTGGGGAATTTTGGGGATTTTTGGGAAAAAAACCCGGTGAGTTTTGGTGAAAATTCGGGGGTTTTAGGTCCAAATTTGGGGATTTTATGCGGGTTTTTGGTAATTTTGGGGGGGAGATTTTTGTGATTTTAAGAGGGGGAAAATTTGGGGAGGGAATTTGGGAAAGTTTGGGTAAAATTTGGGAATTTCAGGTGGAAATGAGGTGGTTTT